GCAGTGGTTCTCAACCTTCCTCATGCCGCGACCCTTTAATACAGTTCCTCATGTTGTGGTGACCCCCAACCATAAACTTATTTTTGTTGCTACTTCATAACTGTAATTTTGCTACTGTTATGAATCGTAATGTAAATATCTGATATGCAGGATGTATTTTCATTGTTACAAATTGAACATAATTAAAGCATAGTGATTAATCACAAAAACAATATGTAATTATATATGTGTTTTCCGATGGTCTTAGGCGACCCCTGTGAAAGGGTCGTTCGACCCCCAAAGGGGTCACAACTCACAGGTTGAGAACCGCTGCCCTAGTCTCTTACTGGCCAGAGTTAGGATCCATTGGGGGCCAGGGACAAAAGGGTTCTAACGAAGGGCTATTCTGAGAGAAGGGATGGCCAGGAAACAGGATTAGCTATTTAATGGAATAACACACAGACACAGCAGGCCAGGCGAGCCTGTCAGCTTGTCCTCAGCCAACTGCCAGCTATGAACTAACTAGAAAACAACATAATAGTGAAAGCAAAAAATTTTCCTCTAAATTTAAACATATATACAATAGGCAAAATGTACCTCTATGCATCCAAAAATCTAAGAAAACATCACAAGTAGAATGTCAATGCTTTAGGAACTAAGAGGTTAGTGGGTGTTTAGACATTCAGAAATATAACACCATTCATTCATTCTTTAATTCAACAAATCTTTTGGAGCACACGGAAGGTTCTGTGCTAGCAATGACTAGGACACAACGTCTGCTGCAAGTGGCTCACATTTTAGTGAGGTCAAACCATGCAATGAGTGATGGTGACAGAGTATGGGGACATGGAGGAAGTGGCAGCTAAGCCAGACGAGGGAGGTGAGGTGTTTTGATCACTGCCTCTCACCTTGTGGGTGAGGGAAGGATTCCCCCCCTAGCATCATGGGGATGACATAGTACACTACACACGACGCTGGGCAGGTGAGACTGATGGCAGATTCTTAGCCACATGCACTCCCAGCCTGGGGAGGAGGGCACTGCCTCATGCGGGCCATGTGGGGCTGCACTTGGAAATGGAATGACAAGGAGGGGCTGGCAGAGGCAGGCTGTGTAGTAACAAGAGGTGACCTCTGGTCCCTGTGGCAGGAGGTGATTGCCTGTTTGAATAATTCCGAGGGCTGGCAGGGAACTGAAGCCCACTACTCAGGGATGGTAGGCACTGTGCCCGGTCCCCGCCACATAGAAGGTCGTTTGGCTGAGGGACCTGATATGAGAAAGCAGGGTGGGGAAGGGACTTGCAGGTAGGCCATCTGGGGCCCTCTGGATTTTACCAGATGTCAAGGCACACATGACACTGGACCTTCATTTCAGGCCTTACACCACACGGGGTGACTCCTGAACTGGGCGAAGGGGAAGGGTATATCAGGGAGAAGCATGTGCAAAAGCCTGGAGCTGACAGAACATGGTGTGTCTAAACCTATATTTAATTCAGCAAAACTGAAGAATACTTCGGGGAAGGGGCGGAGGAAGGGGGGAGCCAAGGTTAATGCTGAGCGGAAGGCAGGGAGTTGGACAGTAAAAGCAGGCCTTGCTACCTATCTGTCCCAGCATATCAAGCCTCTGGTATCTCCTCATCTACTGCTTAACCTTAACCATGTCTTTGCTGGTTAATTACAGCATTAACAAGCCTAATGCTGTGATCATTATCACTTACTTGGTGACTGACTGCCAGGTTTAGAGGAAAGGATGCACACGAAAGGCTGGAGTAGGTCTCCCGGACCCAAGCCACAGCCATGCCCTTCCCACAGAGCGGAGGTTCGGAGGTGATAGGGGCAACAAAGACTTTCTGACGCCTCTGAGCTTCTTCTCAACAGGGCCTCGAACTTGGCCTTTGTCCTTGGCCTTAGTCCAGTTTTAGCAAGAGCGGCAGAGTCAGTTTAGTAAAAGTCCCCCTTCTTGGTATCTTTCTTTTCCAGTTTTATTGATACAGTTGGCACACAGCGCTGTAAAAGTGTAAGTGTACAGCATAATGACCTGACTTACATATGTTGTGAGATGATTAGCATCCCTCATCTCATATAGATTTAAAAAAAGAAAAAAATGATTTTTTGTTTTTTCCCTGTGATGAGAACTCTTAGGATTGATTTACTGTCTTAACAACTTACAGCAGTGTTAACTATAGACATCGCATTGTACATTACATACTTAGTACTATTTAACTTGTAACTGGAAGTTTATATCTTTTGATCACCTTTGTCCAATTCTCCCACCCTCTACCCCCTGCCCCTGGTAACCACAAATGTGATCTCTTTTCCTGTGAGTTTGGATTTGTTTATTTGTTTGTTTTTTAGATTCCACGTAAACGTGAGATCATACAGTATGTGTCTTTTTCTGTCTGACTTATTTCACTCAGCATAACTCCCTCAAGGTCCATCCATGTTGTCACAAACGGCAGGTTTTCCTTCTTCCTAAATGGCTGAAAAATATTCCATATACACCACATTTTCTTGACCCATTCACCAGTGATGAGCACTTAGGTTGCTTGCATGTCCTGGCTATTGTAAACAATGCTGCAATAAACATGGGGATGCAGACATCTGATCAGATTCCTTATCCCCCACCCTCTATATCTTCTCACCCCCGCCTGCCTTCAGCAAGAATCCTAGTAGTGGGGCTACCATGAATCTTCCTAGGCTTGATGTTTCTTCTTAGTAATTTTCCATCCACTAACCCCACCTTGGCCATAAATCTCCACCTCTCCTTGCTGTATTTGGAGTTGAGCCTGATCTCTCTCCTAATGCAAAGCCCTCCCCTGCGGTGGTCCCTCTTTTTTCTTTTTTTTTAGTGATTTTATTTATTATTTATTTATTAATTTTATTGTTGAGATTATTACAGATGTCCCTCTTTTTTGCCCCCATAGTTCCCCTCTATCCGGTTCCCACCCCACCCCAGGCCCTCGCCACCCTATTGTCTGTGTCCACAGGTAATGCATACATGCATTTAAGATCTTTGTCTAATCTCTTCCCGAACCCCCAACCCCTTCCCTCTGAGAGAAAAAATATGAACAACAAAGTGACAACAAATACATATCAATAAACAGCTGAATCTAAAAATCAAATGAATAAAAAAATGATGAACAGAGTAAACTGGTGAATGGAATAGAATCAGGGGCATGGAAATGGAACAGACGGAAGGTCCCTCTTGAATAGTCTTTCTTACCATTTTTTAACAAGTGTCATGAATAAGATTTTTTTACAGCATCTACATAATGTTAACAGCCCAGTTCTACATTCTGCTGAATCAAAAGAGTCCACAGATCAACACTGGGAGGCCTTACCCCAGACCCTCGGAATCAGAATCTGCATTTTAAAAGTCTCAGGCAATCAGTGCTCTTTAAAGCCCAAGATGCACTACTTTATCATACCTATTGGATTTTCACATTCTCTAGAAGAAAGGGCACCCCCATGAGATGAGTTTTCACTTTTTATAGGTGAAAATGTAAATTGAAGATGACTGAGAAAGACTGAGTTAGACTTTACATTTCATGCGATTGAGCCAAATCTGGGCTGTTCCCTTTCTCTGATGCCAGCCAGAGCAGCCAGGATGGGAGGACAATGACAGACCGGGGTCCTCCAGCCCCTGGGATTTCCGGCAGTTTATTCCAGCTCACTCATCGAAAAGGTGCACAGCTACACTTTGCTCAGTGCTGGACCTGAAGGAGCTGGACTCCAGGCGTGGGGCTCAGGCTCCTTGAGCTACTACTACTGGCTGGGACCTGAGAGGCATCAAAGATGATCCTGCAAGAGGCAGCCAATCAATGATTCTCATCACTGATGTTTCTCTCTCTCTCCCTCTCCCTTACTCTCTGAAATCAATATTTGGCTTTAAGAAGTACTACCTGTGGCTCCATTATCTAGCAGAGTTTCCTAACACTAGTGATAAATAGGAGTTCCAACACAGATCCTGGCTGGGGGATATGATTTCAGAATCATAGAAGAAATGAGATAAACAGTGAGGTATTTCAGGCACAAAATCTGAAAGAAGTTATCCTGAGCAAGGCAGCTGGATGATAGTGGCAAAGGACCCTGTTGTTACACAGCTCATATATTTGTCAGTGTTGACATAGTACATGGGAGGTAGTCAATACTAGCTCATTGAATGCTGATTAATAGTGAGCATGAGGAATATAAGAAAACTAGTTAATATCTCTGTAGAACAAGAAGATTTTTGGAAATTACCTATAAGACGTATTTGAAAGTTGATATTAAAAGTGTAAAAAACACCCAGTTTAAATAATGCAAACTCTTCAACTTGCACTCACTATAAACATTTAAAATATACATTTATTAAGATATAATTCATGTGCAATACAATTTACCTATTTAAAGTGTGCAATTCACCCAGCATGGTGACTCAGTGGTTGAGCATCGACCTATGAATCAGGAGGTCACGGTCCGATTCCTGGTCAGGGCATATACCCGGGTTGCGAGCTTGATCCCGTGCAACAGGCAGCCAATCAATGATTCTCATCATTGATGTCTCTCTCTCTCTCTCTCTCTCTCTCTCTCTCTCTCTCTCTCCCCCCCCTCCTTCCCTGAAATCAATAAAAATATATTTAAAAATAAAAAAGTGTACAATTAAATGGATTTTAGTAAATTCACAGATTTGAATCACCACAATCTAATTTTAGAGTATTTCATTACCCACCAGAAGAAATCTATATCTTTTATCAGTCACTCTCCATTTCTCTCCAACATCCGTTCCCCACCCTCTCCTAGGAAGCCACTAATTTATAATCCGTCTCCCATAGATTCACCTACTCTGGACATCTATAATAATAAAAGGGTAATATGCTAATTAGATCGGATGTCTTCCGGACATCATTCCGGATGTCCTTCCTGACGAAGCCGGGGCCAGAGGGAAGCCAGCCAGGGTCCTGGTGGCTGCGGGTGGACCAAGGGAAGCCAGACCGGGTTCTGGGTGCCTGTGGGCGGCCAGAGGAGGGAAGCAGCCCAGGTCCTGGGTGCCAGAGGGAAGCCAGTGCCAGAGGGAAGCCGGTGCTGGCAGCCGGGGAAAGGAAGGCCTACTCTTGCACGAATTTTCATGCATTGGGCCTCTAGTTTTATATAAATGGAATCATACAAGATGGGATACAGGTACTAATACAGTCACACTTGGAATAAATCTCCTCAAATATTTCAAAGGTAAATATTTGAAATTACTTACACAAGGAAGCAATGAAGCTATCAGAATCAGCAATGTTTCCCATGAAAGACAAGTAGACAAAAGAGCCTTCCTAGAGAGAAGAAAATAAAATAAAAAATGCTCTAATTTAGCATCACAACCCCAGGATGGCACCACAAGTACATGGCACTGCCTGGGAGCATCCCTTCCCCCTCCCACCTCAGTTGGTACCTTCAGAGCACCACACTTACATAACCCCATGGGGTGTTATCCTGGAGTGCGGTCCCTGACCTTGGAAATGGATGAATCCAAAGCTAATGTTCATATAATAAATGCTATTTTTCAATGATTGGCATTATAAAATAAGGGGTGTATTCTTGTGGGGGAAAATAAGTTGAAATTTTTCCACAAGGAAAGAGCTTAAATGTTATATTAAATAGGCTAAATTCTGGATTAGTCTAACAAATTTATTATACTTTTGAGAAGTACCTCACAGCAGTTCATTTTGTCTCACTTCACAAAAAAGTCCAAGATCTCTCTTAACAAAAGTGGCATTCAAATATCTATATCATAGTTAAATTAGTTATTTTTCCTGCCTAAGGGCAGACTTAAGAAAGTTTTAAATGCTTACAGGTTACATTTTAAATTTTAGGTAATGAAATATTTGTAATTACACCGAGCATTTCCCCATCGCTGATGTATTTCTTCGCACTAAAGTTTCAAAAACCAATGAACTAGAATTCACTGGGATATTTGATTGTCATGTTGCTTCTTGGAACAAATTCTGTTGCTGGTCAATACTACTACTTTTTTTCTCACTTCTTTTTACCAAAGCAATCACTTATATGACATTAAAATTGTGTCTCTGACTAATCCCTGCTCATTTCCAGTACCACTTCCCAGAGGTTAACACTTATAACCACTTCTGTCTGTAGTTCTGGGGATTATCTCCATAACTTACACTATTTCTTTCTTTTCTTTTTTGGTTAATCCTCACTGGTACTTTCATATAGGGCCAACCAGCATGAGTTGCAAAGTGATCTGCAGATGGCTGCTACTTGTGCTGAGCTTGGAGGTGCCCATGCGAGGCCCAGCTGTGAACCAAGGCTAGACAACTCAGTTTCGCCCCATATGTCTCTGCAGATGGCTGCTGCCCCAGCCCTAGAGCTCAGAGGGAATGAGTCCAACTAAGTCTATACACAGGTTAAGAGGAAGTGCCTGAGACTCCAGCAGCGCTCTGTCTCCCTCAGCCTCAATCCTCCCTGGTTTTTACAGCCAGAAGTTATGGTGACTTCTCTTCCTGGCACTGGAATCCTGGGATGGGGCTGGTATCCCTTGCACCTCAGAGATACCCCTCCCAATTTTTATCCACCACATGTGGGTGTGAAACGAGCCTGTTCCATATCTTCACCCCTCCTACCAGTCTCTGTCTGGCTTATTCTTTAATTCTCTAGTTCTAAGAGTTCTATTCAGCCAGATTTCGGGTGGTTCTGAATGACGGTTATTGGAGGATGTGAATACTATGTTTACCTATATCACCATCTTGCCCAGAAGTCCTAAATGTCTGTGTGTTTTCTTTTGTTTGTTTGTTTGTTTTTCCCCACCTGTTCTATGGTATTTTTGTTATAGCAGCCCAAGCTGGCTGAGAGAGTAAGTGCTGGTGAGGATGTGGAACAACTGGAACCTCAAGTATTGTTGGTGGAAATGGAAAATTGTAGAGCCACTTTGGAAAACAATTTGGCAGTTCCTACTCTAGTTAAAGAATCCCACTCCTAGGCACTTACCCAGGATAAATAAATGTCCACAACAAAGATTTGTAAGCAAATACTCATAACAGCACAATTTATAACAGTAAAAAACTAGAAACAACCCAACTGTTGATTAACTGGAAAACAGAAAAATAAATTGGTATATATCCATATATTGGGATACTATTAAGCAAATTATGCTAAATAAAAGACTAAATACTTTATAGTTTCATTTATATGAAATTCTAGAAACAGCATACCTTTAATAACAAGAAAGCAGATCAGTGTTTCTTGTCTTTGTTAACATTATCAATATTACATAAATCAGCCAGATTCTAAACCCCATGATCATCTCCACTCCTAATGTATAAGCGATCACTTTGACTTACACAATTCTCCCCTTGAAAGTCTCTTATACTTACTTAGTTTTCTTCCCCACTTTAACTTTCACCACACCTTAGTGCAGCTCTTTTTCATCTCACTCCTAAAATACTGCAATTGCTGATCTTTTTGCTCCTTTTAACTAGCTTTTCCAATCCACCCTGCACCATATTGGGAGAGAATACTCCATAAATATATTCTACTCCTGCACTGTCTGGGGTCTCTGGGCACAGGCATTTACACCAACGGAGGAGACATTATATGAGGAGACATTCCAGGCTAGTAAAGCTTAGAGACCTCTCCTCCTAAAACATTCCAGGGTGACAGACGTAAAGATCTTGCCCCCTCCTCCCCAGAGAAGATCTGTTTACATTCTAGAGTAAAGGTCTTTCTCCAGAGAAGTATGAGCAGGTCACCAGCAGCTACATAAGGTGGGAGCCTAATTTGGGGTTCCTCCCATGTCATGCACCCACTGCATGTGCAGGTACCATCTGGCCCTCCCTGCATTGCCCAGTGGTACTTGAAGAATTAACCTGGTTAACTTGTAAAAAGGTTGAAATCTCAGACCCTTTACAGTTTCTGATTTAACACATTACCACCAAATTATCTTTGGCCATGCTACTCCCTTGGCTGAAACTCATCAACAGCTTCCTACTACAGAATAAAATTCAAAGTCTCACATATCATTCCAGGTCCCTTAACTGTTCCCCAAATTTATTCCCTAGGTAAACCCTGTGTTCTAGTCAATTTGGACTTCAAGGTCTTGCCCAAACACATGAATACACATCCACCTTTATGCTGTGGCCACACCTAGAATGCTGTACTTAGGTTGCAGATGAGGAAAAAACCATGAAGCCCCAGTGCACGAAATGCCCACAGCAACCTTTGAGGAATAGTGAACCACACCATTGGTTTTTTATGTACTAGTGAGTATATTGTCATGGCTCCTACCAGTGTACTGGTGGGAAATTGGGCTACCTTCACCCTAGGCCCATGGTCGGCAAACTGTGGCTCGCAAGCCACATGCGGCTCTTTGGCCCCTTGAGTGTGGCTCTTCCTAAGCCTTAGGAGTACCCTAATTAAGTTAATAATAATGTACCTACCTATATAGTTTAAGTTTAAAAAAATTTGGCTTTCAAAAGAAATTTCAATCGTTGTACTGTTGATATTTGGCTCTGTTGACTAATGAGTTTGCTGACCACTGCCCTAGGCCTACCCAACTGCCCTGAAGACCAGTGCAGTAGCCTGAGGTAACCACATTCTGATTGGACATCAGGGAGCTGAACTACCTCTGGGAATGCTGGGCTTGGAACTCTGTGGACAGGGGAGCTCTGCATTTGATGGCGGCCATTAATCCCAACATCTACCATTTGAGAAGTGAAGTTTACAGGGATAAGGAGAGACAGCCCAGGTTCTAGTGTGAACAAGTGAATTGTGGCTTCAGTTTTCCACCAAGCTTTATATTCCAGTCTTAGCTCAGGCCACATTTCTGGGTCTTCTGTCAATAAACTCCCAACCAAAGATAATACAGGCCTGCATTTTTAAAAAATATTTTTATTGATTTCAGAGAGGAAGGGAGAAGGAGAGAGAGATAGAAACATCAGTGATGAGAGAGAACCATTGATCGGCTGCCTGCACTTCCCCCACTGGGGATTGAGCCCACAACTCAGGCAGGCATGTGCCCTTGACCAGAATCAAACCCAGGACCCTTCAGTCCACAGGCCGACACTCTATCCACTGAGCCAAATCAGCTAGGGCCAGGCCTGCATTTTTTTGCAGGCCTCAACCACTTAATTTAAGTGCTCTCCTCACCAATCTCTAGAATATGTGTACAAAGATGCTGGTTGAAGCACTGTGTGTAAGTAGCTAAATAAAAATATTCCTATTAAGCCCTAGCTGGTTTGGTTCAGTTGATAGAGCATCGGCCTGCAGCCTGAAGGGTCCCAGGTTCGATTCTGGCCAAGGGCACATGCCCGGGTTGTGGGCTCGGTCCCCAGTGGCGGGGGTGCAGGAGGCAGCCAATCAGTGAGTCTCTTTCATCATTGATGTTTCTATCTCTCTCCCTTTCTCTCTGAAATCAATAAAAATATATTTAAAAAAATATGTCTAGTAATATGAGCTGATTAACTTTTCATGTTTCCTCAACTGTAAGATATAGCCCAATTTCAGAGATATAAGATATCAATAAATGGACCACAGTGGTTATGTCATTGATTGTTTTAATATGTTAAAAATGTGCATTTTAGAATTAAAGAACTAAGGCATGGTGCATCATAAAGTGGAACATTTTGTAGCTAGGACAGGTAATGGCACAAGGTAGGGTTGGGTAGGGGACATTTCCTTTGGAACAGGGAGGAGGAAAAACAGGGCAATGACTCCACACATTGGGCTACACCTCAAGGTGCCACAAGTGGAGATGTGTGTGGTGTTACCTGTAACAGTCTGTGCTTGAAAAGGAGACTAGATTTTAAACTAGGTGGACATATGGGTATATGTTTTAGTATTTTAATACATTTTTGTATGTCTAAAATCCTATATAATAAAGGGGTTATATGCAAATGGACCGAACGGCAGAACGACTGGTCGCTATGATGTGCACTGACCACCAGGGGGGCAGACGTTCAACACAGGAGCTACCCCCTGGTGGTCAGTGCACTACCACAGGGGGAGCGCTGCTCAGCTACAAGCCGGGCTGCAGCTCTAAGGATGTCCGACTAGCGGGCCTAAGCCATCAGTCCCCAAGGACTCCCGAACTGCTAAAGGGTGCAGGCCAGGCAGAGGGACCGCCCCCTCCAGTGCACGAATGTCATGCACTGGGCCTCTAGTATGTAATAATATTTTCTTCTCTCAGTGGGCCTAGCAACCTATTTTACTGCCCCTGTTCTTTAGAAGAATTTGTGTCCAATGACAGCTAAAAAACCAATTCTATAAATAAAGGAGTTGAGGACAATATTCACTGTTTCTTAGCTCCACATGTTAACTATTAGGAAGAAGGAATTTCATCATTCCAGAAACACCTGATATGTACACATATCCAACTAACATACAGACCTAGATGATTATTGAAAATTTTGCTTTCTATTTCTTTCTCAATACTATAGACCAACCATTTTCAATCTTTTTCATCTCACGGCACATATAAAATAACTAGTATAAAATAATTACTAAAATTCTGTGGCACACCAAAAAATATATATTTTTGGCTGACCTGACAAAAAATAGGTATAATTTTGATTCATTCACACCGGGTAGCTATTGTTCTGTTGGATGTTGTCATTTTTTTATTTGATAACATAAGGGGCAAGAGGTCAGTGCCCTTGACTAAACTGACTGCATGTTTTAAAAATTCTTGTGGCACATGGGTTGAAAATCACTGCTATAGACGTTGGCTTCACATTAGCCACGGGCTTGCCTAGATTTAAGCAAGGTCAAATTTGCAAAAAAGATATTTTGGCATAATTAAAATAACTTTAAGAAAAAGTGTGTGCATGGGCGAGGGGTATTTTAATAGAATTCCCTTAACTACAACCCTCCTGGCCATTTATAAAATGAGTTCAATTTTTGGGGGCACACTTCCTAAAGCCTGGTGTAATACAGTCTTTGTAGCCAGACTAAACAAACGCAGAACCACGCCAGCGTGTGGCATTGCAGTCACCTAACTTTGTTGGGCCTGATTTCTCCTCTGTAAAATGGGGACAATAATAACTGTTTTATGGGGTGTTGTAAAGATACAAAAATTTAATACACAGTATTATTCATCGCACATATTCGTCACCCAATAAATGCCATGACCATTAA